TCCCTCTGGAGAACACTATGATATTTCATACAAAACAAACAAACAAAAAAGCATCCTTCCTTGTAATAATTGGAAAAGCCAGATGGCATCTTCTGTAAAACTGAATTCCCCAAAAGTTGACCTATTTTCTTGACAGATAACATATTTAATGAAAAATGAACTCACAGGATTATATTTTCTCAATAGCAATATTTGCTCCCTTTTTACACCATTTATGGTTTGCTACTAACTGTCTTCTTTCCTTTAAATATAGGTAAACCTGGAAAACAAAAGCTAAAAATCTGTCTCCTCCCATTCTGGCACCGAAATAGACATGACAGTAGATAAAACATCATGAATAAAATAGGAAAGCTTGCTATTTCTGCTTGCTAACTGCACCATAACCAAATAGCACAAGGTTCAATATTAATGCCTATACAAACAATTCAGACCCTGTAAGCTACACAATCTCTGACCAACCTGAATCACTTTTTAAATTGTAAGAAGGAACTTGTTATAAAGAATATGAAACTATTGTGGATATTCTCTGAGTCTAATTTGATCAGCCCTTACTGTCTATTTCTGGCAATTAGGAGTTTTGAACACCAGGAAAAATGGTGAATACCAAACATCTCTCCTTAGAAAGCTAACAGCACACACATACATAGGGTAACTTTTTTAGGACAATTATAGAGCGGGTTTTTTTGTACCATCATTACCTAGTTTGTTACAGAGTTTTACAAGTCTTAAAAAATCTTCAGATCCAACAATCCCCATGAACAGGAAAACATTCCAATCACACCATTTTTTTACAACAAAACAGCCTGACATAACACAAAGGACATTAAAATGTATGGATTAACTTAAAGAACTAAATTAATTTTAAATAAAGTTAATTAGAGAAACAAATAGTTCTTCATTAACTTTGTCTGATTATTTGTGGCAGTAGCAGTCTTGTTTTCCTGGCTGACCCAAACATAAGAAGAAAATCACAGTCTCACAACCCATACATTTATTTCCAGCAATCAGATGAAGGAAGTGTTAAGGTAAGGATCAATCCCCTCTGATTTATGTTGCAATACCTCTAATGCCAATTCAAGAAACAGGCTTGCCTGTAGACTAAACAGCTGAAAAACAATCATTATCCTCAGCCTTACTCTTCAGTATAATTCCATTGTAATTTCAATGATGATAGTTCAGAAAAAAAATCATTCCTCTTTATATACTTCAATATTTTTGCATAGATTTTCAAGGCTTTTAGAATTTTTGCAAGGTTACCTCTAGATCTATGAACATTCTGCAAAAGTTCTTTTTAATGAGGAAAAAAAAAGGCATTGTAATATGTAGAATACAAGCAAATGACAAAATCACAAGCATTAGTTTTCTTAATAACTTGTTTGCATCTTAGCCAAAGAAAGAATTACTCCATTATAACATGTCTTCACAGATAGTGGCCATCAGATTTTGGTTTCTCTATTCTTCCATATCATTAGGATTAGGTAGTATCACGCAACAATAAAAGAACAAAAGAATGAACAGCAGACTCTAGGACCACTTCAATTTAACAACCTATCCAAACATGAAATTTCGTTTTCTGCCATAACTTAGCAATAAAGCAGAGATGCCAATTCCACTTTCTGTATTCCTTACACATTTGAAGCTACAGACAGAAAGCTCCCTATGACAGAATTGTTTATGATCCAATTTCACTCATTCGTTTACACAGAATCTGTCTTAATCTTCCATTTTTTTCCAGCTACCCTAACCTTTTGAATCTTTCCTCTCACAGAGTTCAGTTTTGGCATCATTTTCTTGTACTCTTAGGGCTTAAACACCATCTCATTTTCATTGAACTAGTATATGCACTGCTCTTTAGAGCATTTGATGGTCAAGTCCAAGCTGTTTTCTTCAGTTTTGGTTTCCGTGAGTCAATTTCACTTCTGGAGCTCTGACTTTTGATGCATTGCAAAGGGTCATCATTGCAGCGCAGAGAAAAACACAAAGGTTGAATGTGCCCCTGAAGACTTTCCATATGTTCAAAATTAACTGCATATTTGCATGTCAAAATATTGCCAGCTGAATTTTAAATGTCAAGATTCTCTTAGATAATTTTGCATTTTGAATGTGTTCATTTGAAGACTGTAGCCATCCTATAAACATTAATGAATTTATCTTTTCAGTAGCCCAGTGAGGTAGTATGCATTGGAAACACATTTACACTAGGGTAAAGTAAAACATTAAATACTAGAGTGTTATATGAATATAGCTTCACTAGCTATAATGATTTTTTTCCAATTTACCATCATCACAAACTAGAACAAGTTGAGCACTGCTCCTTAGCCTAAATCAAACAGGAAGGCTTTAAGAAAGCATTTAGTTATGTATCCAAATAAATATTTAGGCAGAATCTCTCCATCTAAATTCAAGAGAGCAACCAAAGAAAGCCCCGAGGCACCATAAACTATGCTATCACATCCCTCAGTATCATTACTGATGACACCAAATGTATGGGATACCTAAACCCTTCTCAAAGGCACTGAGTAACCTAAGTTGAGAATCTGAATTGCTCTCTAACTTTATGTCCTGCTATATGAGCAGACTATTCAGATACAACCCAGGCTGTGGACAACAGTACCCCCTCCTCCTCTTCCACCTTTAACAGATGTGAGGCCTCTTCAATTACTTGGAAGAACTTTTGCACAAATTGATTTTTCAAGACAAGATTCAAGGGTCAAAAAACAATGGCAACATCAAGCCACAACCTTGACCTGGGTGCCTAAATTGCAGGCGCAAGGAGGGAAAGGGAACTCAGACATATATTTCTACTCATTATTTCATTTTGGCTCTCTGTCTGAAGGATGTAAAGATATAAGTACTAAGGAAAATCTTTGTCAATTAAAGAAGCCTGACTTTCTGTAAATCAAAAATAACTGAAGGAGTCCTTCGTCAGTGTGAAGCAGCTCCAGCTCACACCACCTCTCTCCTAATTGCCCTAGCTAACCTGTGCATGTGAAGGGGGAGTCCTTCCTTCCACCCTCCGTATGCTTCCTTTTTGTGTTTTGAGTTTGATCAGGAGTTCCCTGTTCATCCACACAGGCCTCCTGGCATTTTTGTGTGCCTTAATATTCTTGGGCATAGAACCCTCTTGAGCTTGGAGGAGGAGATTTCTGGTTTTCTTGGGTTTTATATAAAATCCACAAAAGGGAAAAAGGACTAAGCCATTCCTCACACTCATGCATGTGAGACATGGTGTTGGAGGTACTTGGTTCACTTTGCAAGTTACACCTCCTGTAGTGTTCCCCCAGCCTTTAAACACAGGAAGATTTAGAGTTAATTGCCTCATCTACCTAAACATTGATTTAGACATCTCAAACTTTTTAAAAGAATTTTTAAACCTGTATAGCCCTTATGTAGTTGCACTTCAGTCAGTTGAACCTGAAGGCTTTTAAATAGAGGGTTGTATTTTCAGATGCTGTGTTTAACTGGAACTCTCAACAGCCTTGTAAAAAGGTGTAAAACACAGTCATGTTAGAATGTGTCCTCATTTATATACAGTACAGCATTTTTACACCTGTTTTGCATGGATCTCAAGATTAAATAAAGCACAAAGCAATAACAAATAAATTGTATTTTTTGGTTTTGAACTTATGATCTAGAAATGATTAATGGTAGCTCATTAATCAGGCTAAATTATTTATTTCACTCAATTCTAAGACTTGTGTTCCAATTAATCCTCTACAAGAAAAACACATACTGGTTATGTTATAGCTGTACGTGCTTGAGAGGCTATTTGTGTTTTGCTGTTGCTTTTTAATCATCTTTAAATTTACTGCTTCTTGTAATGGACACTTGTATATTTATAACAATATTCTGTTCACCCCTTAGATTGTTCATGCCTGAGTGGCTAGCCTACTGCAGAAAAAAGGTTTAATGAGTTTCAAGGGGATAGCACTGTAAAAACAGGAACAATATAAAACAAGTGCCTGAATACTAATGTAAGCCCTTAGATAAAACATATCATCCAAGCTTATTATAATAGACAGTCCTCCTATAACATACCTCATTTTTAATAGGATACCTTTATTCCTAATTGCACAGTATCTATTTACATAATATTTTTCTAAATGAACCACACTGTAGCTAAGCATTTCAGCAAAGCACATCCTAAAACTGAGGCAGTTGCCCCTACGCTGAATCTCTTACATGTAACAGCCTCGTGTATTAGCAGGCTCTTCTATTTCACGTTTTGACTTTCAGGAAATTCATCTGTTTCATCATGGTGATTCTTATTGACAATGGGCAACTGCCACTATGAAATCCAATATTGCCATATTAATGTTTGAATTAGACGCATAATCCCATCATTTGTTTGCTTCAATTTTTTTTTATTCAGGAAAACACAGATTTCACTTTGCTACTTAGTACTTTTGGTAAAATATGTTTACTGTTTCTCCCAGTGCTAAATTTATAAGTAATCATCACCACATTTTATCTAACTGAATTTTAGCACAGCTCAATAACTTTTTTTGGCTTAAAAATGCAAAATCAGAGTGTCCAATTTGCCAGAAATCTACATATTCACACCAGCAGTTTATGTTTCATATTTAATTCCTTCTCTCACTTACCTACAAAGATTTTGAGATTTCCTGAAGTTTTTTCTATCTCCTCTCTCCTATAGCATTCCTGAACTCTTCTCCTGATCTTGGTAGTGCCACAAAGTATACTGCAATTGGCTTCTAAAGTATGTTAAATATGCTATCACAGCAAACTCTTGTGATCCTGCATTATTGAAGGCTCAAAAAAACTTTTTTTCTCTTCTTCCGCTGTTAATCTGGCCTCTCATCCTGCTGTCTTTGAAATGTAAAGTTTATCTCTACTGGCTGCCAGACAAAAAGCTTCACAGTGCACTCTGTCTCTCCAGCTCTTCTTAAATTCACTGCAGTTTCTCCTGTTTCCTTTTGAACCAGAATTCTGCAACTGAACAGAATGAAATCACCTGTACAACATTCTCATCCACCATCTGTTGATGTCATTGCCTGTCTCTTCTTATTTCCAAAGGCTCTTTGTTTCATTCTCTAATCCTTTAGTAAAACATCATGAGATTGAGGCTACCCCATCCCTTGTCCTGGGTCACTGAATACTTCTTTCCCTTGAACAGCAGAGGCTGGCATTGTGCATCTGAAGAAATAATGTCATGAAAAGCTGCAAGAAAAAAATGAAATTTGGGCTATCACTTCAGACTGATACAAGACCTAGTGTGCTACTTTCACCACATCTTTTCTGATCAATAATAAATGTTTATATATTTATACATCTAGAGGCTGCAGCCTTTATTCCACATCGTCATTATATTGATCCAACAAAAATAACTCAAATTAATGAACATAAATAAAATCAGTTTAAGTAATGACATGTGCATCATATAACGTGTCACCTCCCATTTTAAGTAAATCTAAAAAAACTTACGTTGTGCTGTAGGTTGAGGTATAGCAGATGTGCCACGCCAAAGCTTAGTGACTTGAAAGCACAACATGGAAGGTCCTATCCACCGCCCCATTTTCTGAGTAATTTACAGGCTAAATTTGTATGCCATTTGTACAGTGATCCATCCATGGTCCTCCCCAAAAAAGTTAAGATCCCTGTGAAAAGACTCTTTCAGAATTGAATGCCAGTTTTCTAGTTGTGGAAGAAAGCTGACAGTGGGGGTGCTACTTCTCTATCTATTGCTGTTGCGGAATTGCTATATGTAGCCACAAAAAATTATTCCAGGGCCGTAGAATCCACAAACTGAATTATTCTCATGAAATTGCTAGCAAGCTAATAGCCATCCACAGAGGAATGTCATGCATCTACCATGCTTTTGAATTTCTGATACTTTCCCCTCATTTAAACCCAGACGAATGACTTTTGAAGGAGTTCCTGCCCTGTGAGGGGGAATGCAAAGATTTTTTAACCCAAGGCCCCTTACTGTTGTTGGAAGTGGTTATTAAAAGAACTAGGTGAGATGCACTCCTGAAGAGGGTTTTTTATTACCAGACTTATATCTAATAATTTTGTCATAGATTCCTATACTGTGGTAAGCCTTTGGAGAACTCCAGAAGAGACAAGGCAATATCAGTAGCATAACGAACAGACAATTGATAGGACTCAAGAGACGAGTGTCTATTGCTGAGCTGCTAGCAAGTAATTTAAACTCTGTGCTTTAGTCTCTTCCTCTATAAAATGCAGTCTTGACAGTTATCTCCCTTGAAAGAGTTTTTAGAGATCAATTGGTAATATCTGAGTTACTAACAATTGCTTCTGTGGAGCAGCATGGTGATCACTGTGCCCTCTACCTACAGGTTTCAGCACCCTGAGGTTTTTTGCCAGTTGCCCTAGTTACTGTGGGCCACCGACATCAAGACTATTTGAATAAGTTCATGCTAAAAGTTGAGACACCTCACTGGCTGCTTTGCTCTATTTTCATGCTGATTTTATATCGATAGTGCATTCTGATATACAACTTTCCTCCTCCTTCCACTTTACTCACAATAATGCAGAGGGACTTGGGGATAACTGTAATGACAAATGACTTCTTGGTTGTCATATTAACTGGCTTTTTTCTGCATATATCTAGTGCAATCAACAAATAATCGAAGTCAAGAAGATTCAGTTGCAAGCTGGATGGCAGATCCCTCACTTTCCTCAGAACCAGCTATATTAAATAACAGCAAGTGAAAAATGGTCAGATCATGGTGAGTGCCACAAGCAGCCAGCCTTCTCCTTGCACAGCCCAGAAAAGCTACAGAAAGCTTCACTCCAAAATCATTTTCTATTTCTCATCTGGGATTCAGGAAGTTTTAACAGATTTTAAATGGATATTTATAAGTCACATGATAAATCATAAACATAACATATAATCACAAGTGTTTTAATTATAGAGGCAACCAGCCATAAGGCATCTGTGGGACTATACATATTAATATCCCCATGCATTATTACAGTAGTTTCTAGGACAACTTGTCTTGCACAATAGACATTATATTTAAATTAGCAAGTCATGGGGCACAATGGGAGTGGATATATAGAAGGCAAAGTTGGTGCTGAGAACCTTAATGCTTAAATACATGTTTCTTTAAGAAATCTTACTTTGGATTCCTTTTAGTCTGGTCCCAAGCATTAAAAATTGCTATTAACAGATGAAATGCATTAAGTGCACCTTGGAGCATATCTTCTGCTTTATCATTACCTGAAGGGAATTCCACTTGCCTGCCCAAGGTCTGCTCTGTCATGTGAAAGTCCAGAAATTGTCTGTCACAGAATATGCCATGTTAAATTTCTTACCAAACATGTTACAGAAGTTTTGAACTTCAGACTGTCTTTTTGCATAAAATGTTAAAATAAGGTCTTGGAAGGTTTTGTGGTACCAGCCTACCTCCTCTCTCTAACAGCACAGAAGTGCTACCCAAGGCCATGAGCTACGGCTAAATGCACTGCTGGACAACTAGTGCTCAGGCACTGGTCAAACGCGCAACGTAAAAAGGCACACTGTCAAAATAATTTAAGGACCTGAATGTACTGAATGTACTGTTTTATGATTGCTTAAGAAATACTTTCCTGGTTGACAAACAAAAGACCAAACAGCTTTAAATTTTGAAGTGTGCATTTTCTGTTATTTGTTTAACATGAATTACACCACTAGTAACTAAAAGACTTCTTTCAATGCAATTCTTCAAAATGAGACTGCTAAAAAAGGCAGTTTCTTCCTGTGATATTATCCACTTTCCTCTTGCTTACTGATACTAAGCTGTTTTGATATTGACTAGCACTCTTTAGAGTAACAGAGCATTTGATAGCTGCCCAAGTGTTGAAAATGCAAGAAGCGAGATATGTTGATCCCTACTCATTCTGATGGAAGAACAAAAGAAAATGGAAAGTGGAAAAGAAGCAAGAAACAGAACTTTTTTCTGACAACTCAGGCAGCTAAAGCTCAAGAAGTCAGTAATTAAGAGAACAGATAATGGAATATATTGAGTTGGACTGATACAGAGGAGAAACTTGGTGAATCTTGTGCAGACATGAACAAGAGGCAATCAGAGGCAGCACGTCTGACTCCCTTTCCTAAGAGCAATGAAAGAAGAAATTAACCACACATTTAGCCTGTACTCACCCTTCAGCACGTGCCACGAAAATCTGTCCAACAACAATGACAATTAGCACAATCAGAAATAGACCTTTTTTTTTCTGAAACACACTTTCAAGCAGAAAGATAAACTTCAAAAAATTCTTTCTAGAAACAACTTTTTTGTTGCAATCTATGATTTTAATATCTAAGCTGATGCAATTTGATTCCTTTTTGTGAGGGAAATGCTTAACTGCAAAACTGAATGTTATATTAAGATAGCTTTATAGCCAATCATGGCAATTATTTCACTCACATTAAATCATCTGCTGCTGTTTTTTTTTTCTACATGATGTTTTCATAGACTATCTTGGAAACATTTATTATTCCTAAAAAAAGCCCTGATGAATTGATGTGGTCAGGAGAATATTTATGCAATCAAGCTTGCTTTTGGCTAGTATCTCCAAGATTTCTTTTTATCCAAATATAAGAAATGCAAAGCCTGGCCATCTACAAAAAATCATCTATTTTCTACTTTGGACATGACATTCAGCATAAGGTGAATCCTAGCAGTGAGTAGACACAGGACTTCTGTGTCTACTGTTCCATTCTGTGTCTATGTTCCCATTTCTCTGTAACATATGGAATCAGAGGTCATAATCTTTCCTCTCATCTCTCAGAACCAACTTAAAAGCTGAGCACTTTCCAAGGCATTAACTCACTTCCCCAGCAATACTTAGGGTGCACTATGCTAGCCAAGAAAGCTCCACTTTCTACCACCCATTATTAATGCATTAATAACCATTAATGCATTCCAGCTTGCTCACTTTCATGGCCAAAGCACTATCAGTATATAGGACACTGCTTTGTAGAGTTCTGCCAGTGTTAAAAAGAGATGTTCTTGTCCCTTTCTCACCAAATTAAATCTCCCGCTGTTTTTTTCTTTTAGCATCCTGCATCATTTCACAACAACACATTACATTGTCTCAGTTAAAGAGTACTGATTCCCATGATAATTTTGGTATATGCACTTCTAATCAATGTGTGAACCTTTCTGAACCACAAATCAAAAAATTCATGGTTGGTTAATCATAAAATGCATACTCCATATGTTAAAGATCCAAGAAGAGAAAACTAGCGTTACACATTAAGTGAGTAAGGACCATAAAGCCCATCGCTCCACTAAGGGCTAGGAGAGAGCTGAGCAGTAGGGTTTCAGGGCAATAAATATCAGACATTGGATGCTCACCTGGGGGTTCAGAGTATTCAGCAGCTTCCCAGTTACCACAGTGCCACTGCCAGTTACGGGAGCTGCATTTGATCTCTTGCAGATGTACGCAAGGCACAGAGGTGGGTCACCTGTAATTTTGGTCTTGCTCATTTATCTGAATGAAACTCTTGCCTACGGAAGAAGCACAGGGCCATCTTACACCAGTAATGATCCACATAATCTGTTTTCAAATCATTTAAATATATTAGGTTTGGTTCAGCACAAGAATAGGATGCATGTGTGGCGGACAGAGTGGAGCAGAAACACCATAACATCCTTGCTGGCAGAAACCCTTCAATCCTTACTATTCAGAGTAATCACCATACAGGAAGGGATTTGGAGTAGCTCCCTTTAAAAGGGAATAATGTACAACTATACGTCCTTTAAAAAAATTGTCATATAAAAATTCTATCAAAATTAGTTTACATTTTTAATGATAGAGAAAATGCACTTTTCCTTTCCTATTTTCAATAGAAAATTGTCACATACTTTATACTAGCGTTACGTATACCAAATCAATTCAAGTTTAATCAACATTCTCCTTATGAAAAAATGAAGTTATCGCAAAGACCAGGCATTCTTTAAAATTTTCATTTAAAAATAGCATAAACCCTAACTTTGAAATAAAAAGTGTCAACAAACTATACATCTTTAATTAGATTTTCATTTATTTGCACTTAAAAAGAATAAAAACTTTTGAGATACCATTTTTCTCATTTGAAATTCTTGAAGTGTTTCTAAGGATGTAGTGGCCTGCTGCTTTGATACTGCTTCTACTTATTCATAGAATTATGAAAACTCAAGCCTTAAAAATTTACTTCTTTTTCTCTA